GTGTGATGTGTGGTGTGTGATGTGTGATGTGTGATGTGTGGTGTGTGATGTGTGGTGTGTGATGTGTGATGTGTGATGTGTGGTGTGTGATGTGTGATGTGTGATGTGTGGTGTGTGGTGTGTGGTGTGTAATGTGTGATGTGTGGTGTGTGATGTGTGGTGTGATGTGTGATGTGTGGTGTGTGGTGTGTGATGTGTGATGTGTGGTGTGTGATGTGTCGTGTGTGATGTGTGATGTGTGATGTGTGATGTGTGATGTGTGATGTGTGATGTGTGGTGTGTGGTGTGTGATGTGTGATGTGTAATGTGTCGTGTGTGATGTGTGATGTGTGATGTGTGGTGTGTGATGTGTGATGTGTGGTGTGTGATGTGTGGTGTGTGATGTGTGATGTGTGATGTGTGATGTGTGGTGTGTGATGTGTGGTGAGTGATATGGTCACGCATAAGGATACCCACCTCGAAACTGATCGCCACCGACTGCCGATTGAGACACGACGTCGCGTTGTGCATAGGGAGACATAGGCTTTGACTCCTCGCTGTCGCACGCCCGAGCTTGAATCCCAGGTGATGAAAATGTTTATAGGGTATCTCAGGTCTTTCGGCAGGGATGTTGTATCCCTTTTAGCTTGGGTTGGCCCTAAAAGGGATAGTCTAATCCCGACTCGTAAATGATCTAAATTGAGTCAATGTGAGCGACAAACATTTACAACGACAATTCGCTACCTAGGAATTACAAAGTTCTGTTGGAAATTTTTGGCCTTTTAAAGTTACTAAGACCATGAGGTCAGAAACCAAAACTTCTATCGGCTCTAACAAATCGTAAATTATTCGGACTCGTACTCAAGATATTCAAAGAATTTTTGTTGTTGTATAGTAGAGGGTTTTACGGCGCTCGCAACTGCATAAGGTCATATGAGCGTCAAGGGGTTGGTGTCAACAGAGAAGTCTTTACAGGCAATCAGATTTAGACTGCTCACCTCTCTAGCTTCAACAGCACAAAGTCTGCTTCGACTACCAAGGCACCCCGGAAATAGCAGGTCACAAGAGAGTGACAAACATACAAAAGAAGTAGAGGAAAATGACAATAGTAAGGAATAGGAAAGAAAAAGCAGCAGTTCCCCGTTGTAGATCAGACACAGTTATGAGCGTGACATGAGCCAGCCCATT